CCTTTAGTTCCAGAGTCCGTTTGCGAAGGTTTACATCAACGCTGTGGGATTTTTTATTTTGCAGTCGCCACGAAGCTATGGACATCTTTACCATACTGACTATTCCCACTTAGGAGCACAGGAAATACTGGGTTAGGCTTATTCCCAGATTATTTGTATACATTCTTGATACTCTGAACTGTGTGGTTTTTATTTTTTTTTTTTTAAGATTTTATTTATTTGACAGAGAGAGACACAGCGAGAGAGGGAACACAAGCAGGGGGAGTGGGAGAGAGAGAAGCAGGCTTCCCGAGGAGCAGGGAGCCCGACGAGGGGCTCGATCCCAGGACCCTGGGACCATGACCTGAGCTGAAGGCAGACGCTTAACCGACTGAGCCACCCAGGAGCCCTGAACTGTATGGTTTTTAAACTGCATTTCCCAGCTCGGTGCTGAGGGTCTATAGGATCAGAGCCTACTTTGTTTCCCTGGGAAACCCTCCTGTTCCTCCCAGAGGCTGGCAGAGACTGGGGTTTTCTGTGCAAGCAATCGTACCATCTCTGGATAATGTCCACTCCTTTCTTCTTTATCAGCCCTTTGAACCTGTCTCTTTTCCTGGGTTTGCTGGTTTTCTGGGGCCTTCAGTATCATGTGGATGGGAAGTGGGGGGCACCACCTGGCCCCCTCCTCGGACTCACTCGGAACCTGCTCCGGCTCCACGGTGGGCAGAAAGCCCTCGCCCACGGAGGCGGGTCTGCTCCTCACTTGCTGGGGGTATTTATCCCAGGTGGGGTCGGAGGGCGCGGAATTCCTCCCTGCATCTACTCAGTGGGCCCTGGGGTTCTCTTCGGTCTGCCCCACGGTGTTGGCTGAGATCGGTGTGCAGGTAGGTGAGCCACTGAGCTCACAGCAGTCTGGCCTCCCAACAGGTCCGTTCCTGCACAGGGAGGGCTGTGCCCCCGGACCAGGCAGAGGTGGGAGATGACCCTCTGGGCCGTGTCCTGGAAAGCAGATGTCCCTTCGGTGAGGGCCCGTCCACCCTCGCACTTGGCCCCAAGATCCAGGCCCGGTCGGGAACGGGTGTGTCTGCCATGCCGGACAGAGAAGCCGGGGGTACACCGGTCGTGATCATACCCTGTGGGGTCCTCCTTGCTGGCCCGTGGGCCTCGAGCGCGGGGAGGAGCCGGCTCAGAGCGGGTGCACGCGGGAGCTGCCCCACGGGGCAGGGGCAGGGTAGAATGTGAGGAGAGGGGCCTGCTCCCGACCTGGCCCGTCCTGGTAAGGGATCTGCCACCCTGCCGTCCTCCCCCAGGGGTGGGGCCCGTTCCCGAGCCTGACACAGCTGCATATCCCTCCCTTGGATTTCTCTGGAAACCCAGCCCTGTCCTCCCCTCGCCTCACCACCTTCCCAAATTGATAGGTCCCCAGAGAGGTCCCCCCACCCTGCAGACAGGAAAGCCTGAGCCGTCACAGACGCGGAGCCCACCCTGTGTGTTCTGGAAGAGACGCCCCTGTTTCCCGGAGACACCCCTAGCCCCACGTTCCCTCTTCCCCGGGATGCCGTGTGGACGCCACCCAAAGCCGCAGAGGTTGTGAAATGTTTTTGGTTCTGGCTGGCGGTGAGGGCCGGCCTGGTGAGCCCAGCGGTGGACGGACGAGGGCCGTGCCTACAGTTAGAGACGGCTGCCCCGGGGAGGGAGCAAGGCTCTGCAGAGCTCCGTACCCAGCGGTGCGCAGGCCCGACCAGGAGACTGCCCTCTGCCGGGGGAAGGGAGACCCGCAGCTGTGCAGGAGGCTGGCTGAGAGCCTGGGCTCCGACGCCCCGGCCTTCCCTCTCTCCCTCCTCCCTTACTTCCTGGTGCAAGGCCTCACACTACTAGTGGAGCCTGGAGGGCGTGGCCAGGTGGGCAGGTGCACGGGTGTCCGTCTTCTTTCGCATTTTCACGTCAACCTGGTGACCTTCATGAACCCCCGTTTGTTAAAATGCTAGTGTTTGATGTGCTGCGGTGAGTCTCCCTAATAGGCCAACACGGGACACCTCCTGACGCCCTCCACACACCTGGACACCGAGCGCATGGGGGACAAGGCTCAGTGGCACGGGCAGGGGGTCTTTGCGGGGCGCTCCAAGTCACACAGGGACACAGAGAGGCAGAGCCTAGACTTGCACAGACCCCAGCCTGTGGCCAGCAGCCCCTTGCCCAGGCCAGGCCCTGGGGGCCCCAGGAAGCACAGGCCGACTCCCCCAAAACACAGGATGGATGAGGCAGACCAGAGTCCGAGGGGCACCTCCTTGGCCCTGACAGGCCTTTCCCTTCACGAGGGAGGCAGGCCCTCTGCCGACGGGCGTCTAGCTCTCGCTGAGGTGGGCCGAGAGGCCGGCCCGGGAGAGAGTCTAGCTTCGCGCCAGGCACACCCACCTCCTGCGGCCCCTGCCTGCCCCTTGTTCGGAGGCCATGGGGCTGCTGTCTGTCACTCCATGTGGTGATGAGGACGACAGATGCTGTGCGTCCTTGGGGTGGTCACCATCCCTCGCTCAGCGTTTCCTCAACCAAAGCTGGAGGCCAACCTGGACTTGCGTGGACTGCGTCACTAGGATGAAGTGGTGCAGGGAAAGATGTGGTCTGCAAGGAGGCTGGAGACAAGCCATGCTGGGGAGGAGCTCCAGCACCTTGCAGTTAGGAAGTGGGGCTGTGTGACCCTGGCGGGTCGCTTTCTTTCTCTGTTTGGGGAGGTGGGTGGGAGAGTCTCCAGGGACACCTGGCAAGGAGTGACTGTATCCCCAGCCCAGGGGCTCGTGCTGGAGGAGCCATTTCTACCCCCATCATGCCCACACGGCTCAGCCCTCAGCAGGGTCTACAGTAGTTAACAGAGCCTGTGCACAGGAGGGACCCCGTGAACCTGCGTGGCCGGGTTACCCGACGGACCCAGTGGGGGACGCCTTCTGCTATGGCGGGGGCAGTGGGGCTCTTGGGCTGGGCGCCCGTTCGGGGCATAGGTGCCAGGCACAGGCCCATCCTGCACTCGCTCTGCTGTCTGGGGCTCGGCACCCCCCCTTGCCTCGGCCGAAATGGAGGGACCGGCTGCCCGATTCTGCGAGCCCCTCTGTGCCTGGTGTGTTTTCGCTCCTCCTCCTCGGGACCCTGAGGTAGGGTTTGTTTCTGGTTATGGATGAGGGAGAGAGGAGGGTCTGAGAAGCTGAGAGACTTGACCAGATGACTCAGCCTTTGGTTCAGAGTTCCGTAGCCTGTGGTTGTTGGCGCTCTTCCTGCGGTGTTAAGTATCATCAAAAGCAAACAGGAGACTCTCAGCCCTGGATCTGGCGCCGAACCCTCTGCTTCATGAATCGTCACTCGACTCCCCACACCGGGGTCATCAGCCTCATTTTAGCTTTGACCAAACTGGGGCTCAGAGAAATGAACTCACCCCAAATCCCCAGCCTCTAAGTGGGAGGCTGGGATGGGAACCCAGGGGTTGGATGACCGAAGCTCCCCTTGGAACTGTCAGTCTGCTGCCCCAGAGACCCGGGGGCCGGCGGGTTGGGTTGGGGGGCTGGGACCCTGGGTGGGAGGGGAGGGATGGGGGCGACAGGGTGAGGAAGGCCAGGGAAGGCGCAGATTCCCAGGCAGATGGTGGGCCCCGAGTGACCCAGTCTGCGGGTCCCACCCGTCGCAGGGTGGCTGCCGGCCCAGGCCCAGGCGCTGCCCAGCGGTCAGCGACCTCAGAGATCTGGGCTGGGGTCACTGTGCCGGCCGTGGCCTGCCGCACCAGTGCGGGTCATCAGGTCGTCCTGTTTTCAATTTTGTTGCGGCCTCCTCCCACTTTCCACGCCCAGCCCAGAGAAGGCAGTTTGGGGTCAAGGTTGGAAAGTTCGGCAGTCTCTCTGCTGCCCCCTGGTGGGAGCGGCCAGGACGAGGCCTGCAGGCCACCTCTGAGCCGGGCAGGGGCTGGGGGCTCCCCTGGACCTCAGGGGGGGCAGGAAGGACGGTGGAGCTCCCCTGCCTCCCTCCCTCGGGGCCTTCCGGGCTCTGCCGCCTCTGCTGGGCGCAGAGCCTCTGCCCCACCGGCCAGTCCCTCTGCCGGCCTCGGTTTCCCCTTCTGCTAAAGGAGGGTCTCAGAGGAGGGGGAACGAGAAGTGATGTTTTCGGGGCACAGGTGTCCACGACGAGATGAAGATGTTTTCCGACGAGATGGAGGTGGTGCTTGCACATCACCGTAAATACACAAAATGCCACTGAATGGTGCACTTTAAATGGTTAATTTTATGTGAATCTCACCATATTTAACAAAATAAATTAAAGAAAAAGAGGAGATTCAAATAACGCCGTGTGGGTGAGAGCCAGCCAGGAGACCCACGGCCTCTCTGGGCCTCAGTGTCCCTGCCTGTAAATCGAGGGTCCCCGGCACCTGGCGGCCCAGATGCGCCTTTAAACATGCTCAGCAGCAGGCTCCACACACACAGGCCCGGTGGGGCTGGGCCAGAGGACACTCAGGTCGGGGAGCACTGGGGCCACCTTCCCCTTGCCCTGTCTCTGTTGCCTGCGGGACACTGACGTGCTAACACCCTCTTCTCGGACCCGCCCTTGGGTCCTACCGCAGACGTGTCCCTTGGGCAGGCGGGCAGGTGGTATACTCGGCCCCACCTACCTGCTGTGTGACAGTGGGCCGGGCACCTACCCTCTCTGTGCCTCCATCTCCTCCACTGGAAATGGAGACTGTAACAGCCCCAACCGTGCAGGCCCCGTGACGGCAGTTTGAGGACTACAGTCAGAGCCAGAGCCAGACACACAGCAAGGGCACAGGCAAGGGAGAAAGATGCCCAGGGAACCCCACAGCCATCTTCACTTTGACATGGGGGAACTGGGTGTCGGGGGCCAGCAGGGGGGCCTGGCCTGGGTCAGTCCTTCCAGCTCATCGCTGCGGACGAGGTGCAGCCGCAGAGTGGTCCCTGGGGATGGGGCCTGGGCCCTGGACACTCCCCTGGAGGCAGAGCAGGGGACGGGGCCTTGCAGGCTCGAGCAGACTCCTGCAAAATCACCTACTGCTATGTGACCCCCACCTCCGTGCCTCCGTTTCCCAGAAAATGAGCCTCGCAGAGACACTAGGAGAGATGGGGACAGCAGTCCTCAGGGTGGGGCGCTGGGGACCAGCCAGGGCGCCCGCCCCCAGCACCGCTCTGGGGCCAGGTTGACCCTGCGGATGTTGAGCTCAGTGGCAAAGGTCCTGGCCTTCTGGTAGAAGAAGAGGGACTTCTCACGGTCCAGGAGGAAGTTATGGTAGATGGTGGCCAGGCGCGTGTAGATCTTCATCTGGGCCTTCTTGTTGCCTAGGTCGACCGCCGCGGCCAGCGCCAGCTGGTAGTACCCGGCTGCGTCGAAGGGGTCCTGAAGGGGAGATGGCGTTTTGCCAGACTTGGCGCTAATGCACCTGGGTGCAGGCAGGGGCTTTCCCGTGCCCGGCCTCCCCGACCTGCCCACCCCGGCCCCTCCTGAGGGAGCGCTAAACTCAGACCCCGCCCTTCCCTACGCTGCTCAGAATGGGAGGGCTTCCTGGAGGAGGGGACATCCCAACTAAGGAACTGGCCACAGTGGGTGCCTGCTTGGGGGGTGGTGTGTATCTGTGTGTGTGTGCATCCCTGTCCTGTACGGGGGCCACAAGGAGCCCCTCTGCCTCCTGGGCATGTGCCGGAGGGGATGAAGTAGGCCCGCGGCCCCTGATGGAATTCCAAGATCTCGTCGTGGTGAAGACAGACGTGGTGCTGATGGCAGTCATGGCAGGGAGGCCCCTTGACCCCAGCCTCCCGGGCCCAGGGACCTTTCCTTCCTGCACCGTGAGACTGTGGAGAGATAAGGTCCTGTCCCCAGAGCCTGGGCATCAGGTCAGGTACCCTGGGCCCGCTCCCTGACTCCTGTCTTAGACAAGTGTGTTCGCCTCTCCAGCCTCAGTTTCCCCTTCTTGTGCAGAGCTGCTTAGTCATCAATCTCATAGAACCTGGGGTTCTAAGCTCTATGTGGCCCCATCCTCAGATGACCCAGGGATCAGGAGCATTATGTCACAGCCAACCGAGGGCTCTGGGTATAAGGAGCACAGCTGAGGTGGACCACAGGCCTGCCCGACCCCAGCCTCCACGGCCCCTACACGGGGGAGGGCCCAGCCCAGAGCCTAGCCTGGGACAGCAGGCACAGACATGGAACATGCAGGGTCACTGGGTCAAAGGGTGTGGGTTCCGAGGTCCCGGGCCCTGGATCCCCACCATGCAGCTCCCAATCCCTACTCTGATTAATGAACCATGCCCGGCCTCAGTCTCTGCCCTGTCCTGTGGGGGCACCTCTCCTCTAGAACTGTAAAGCATGTGAAGAGCCAACCACACAGAGCTGGGATCACACAGGAGGCTGGGTCACATACAGCCTGGATCACATGGAGCTTGGATCACACAGAACCTGGTTGTCACAGAGCCTGGATCACACAGAGCCCAGATCACACAGAGTCTGGATGGCACATGGCCTGGATCACATAGAACCTAGGTCGTGCAGAGCTTGGATCACACAGAGCCTGGATCACAAGGAGATTGGATGGCACAGAGCCTAGATCACACAGAGCTTGGATCACACAGAGCCTGGGTCACATAGAGCCTAGATCACACACAGTCGGGAGGACACATGGCCTGGATCACACAGAGCCTAGATCACACAGAGCCTGGATCACACAGACTGGAATGCAGTGAGGCTAAGCTGCAGTACCCACCCACCACTGCCCACAGGTTCCCCAAGAACTATGGGACTCTGACATAGCAGGAGGCCACAGTGACCACCTCTGACCACCAGGTGTCACTAGTGCACAGCCAAAGCTGCCCCAGGCAGGGAGTTGGGGGCCACCAACAGGGTGGGGGTCTTCCAGTGTCCCCCCCCCAGCTCCTAGGTGGAGGGGGAGAAGTCAGCCCTGGGCTGGGGCGCACCCCCTTCAGCCAACACGGCGCAGGGATGCGGTGCAGTGCAATGCTATCCCCAGGCTGGGGCGATGGGCATCGGGGGGTGCAGGGGAGCGAGGGAGACCTCTCCAGGCTCTGGTCTGTGTCCACTGCGGGGCTGGGAGCGGATGGGAGAGAGGCCCCGGCTCCAGGGCCTGGGACGGTGTCTGCTGACCACGCCTGCTCCTCACGGCCTGGCCTGGAGCCCCACAGGGCAGACACCAGGGGCCAATGCTGGAGGAGGGCAGGACCCTGACCTGGGGGTCTGCGTGCGATCCCACGCCAAGAGGGCCCCAAGTGCTCCGAGCCCTGCCCCCCCCACCCCCACCCACCTTCAGATCGTAGAAAATGATGTCGCCGAGCACCAGATACACTTTCACGTAGTACAGGGTCTCCTCATCGAACTGCAGGGGCGAGCTGCAGAGCGACAGAGCCTTGAGGTAGAAGTGCTCCGCCAGCTCACCGTGGCCCAGCCGCTGGTGCAGGGCTGCCAGCCGGTGGTAGGCCACTCGCTCGTTCAGCCGGTCCCCTAGGGACGCAGGGGAGGGGGTGCACGTGAGGTTACAGGGGTGGGGGGCACACACCAGCTCCAGCCCCCACGCCCACACTGTCTCAAAGCTCCAGCCAGTCACTTCCCGTCCCAAGACTCAGTCTTCCCATCTGCACAGTGGGCCTAATATTGCCTGTGCCCTGTCCACATCAGGAAGGTGGACGTCCCAGCTCTGTGTCTGCACACGGCTGCCTGGACGGGGTGACAGCAGGCCCCAGACTCAGGCAGTCTGTGCATCGCCAAGCACTGGGACTCCGGCCAACCTGCAGATACGACAGGCCCCCTTCCTGCTGTATTAGCAGGAGCCCCCTCCCCCCACCCTCGGGGCGTGGCCGGACCCGGCTGTCTCCAGATCCCTCCCTGTTCCCCGTGGGGCCTGCACACACACCCTGCTGCACATCCACTGCGTGTCTCTCTCTGGGGTGCTGGGACAGAGGGTGCCCGGCAGTGAGGGGACCAGGGTGTGGCCAGCCAGAGAACGGCGGGGCCGGCAGAGTGTGGTATCGGACACCAGTAAGGCATGTGTGCAGGGACAGGAGAGAAGACTGGGGTGACCACAATGCAGGGCCACCAGCCGGCCTCCCGGTCAGCCGGGAGAGAGGCGAAGGAAGCCACAGAGCGGACACGCAGAGTGGGACACTTCCTGAGAGGCCTGGCCCGTCCCCCGGGCATATTTGGGGCCGCTCAGCCCAGCCCCCCGGCGGAGAGAGGGCAGCTGTAGCCCCAAGCAGCTCCACAGGCGTCCTGGGCTTTGGCCTTCTGTGCCCACCCAGCAGGTGCCGGGGGCGGAGGCCCCGAGGGCTCACCCCGGGTGATGCTCAGCGCCAGGGCCACGTGGGCGAACTCCAGGCCCTCGTGGGGCGACTCCAGCTCGGCCAGCAGCGCCACCAGCTTGTTGCACAACCGCAGCTCCACCTCCTGGTTCCCTGTGGTCACGGCCAGGGGCAGTGCCCGATCCTGCCACACGGGCAGCGGTCAGGCTTCACCCGCGGCCAGCCCGGCCCAGGACCACCCCAGGGCCCTGAACACACGCAGGGAGCTTCCACCCCACCATCCCTGCGTCTGTATTCAGCTCTGGCCCCCAAGGGCAAGGTCAGCCTGGAGAGGCCCTGACAGTCCCAGGGCCACTGGGCCATGAGCAAGCTGGGGTGTGACCTGCAGCCCATCTCAATAACCTCACACCGCCCCCCACCCCCCGGGTGTTGAGAGCCTGACCAGGAGTGTCCAACACCCCTCTGCACTCTAAAAATGCATGTCTCTCTGTACCCCAGGGCGGAGCTGCACCCCGTGAGCCGGGCGGGCAGGGAGAAGCCCGCCTCCTTGGGAGGCGCCTACAGCCCTGGGCCCCGGTGCTGGTCCCCCCACTGACGTGCTGTCCTCTGTCTCTCTGAGCCTCAGCTTCCTCATCTGCAAGATGGAGCAGGACTCGCCTCCCAGCTGTTTGAGGACCTGTAGGCCTGAAGCTGCCTCTGTCCCGCAAACAGTCCCTCCTTCCTCCTTCCCTCCCAGGTTGGGGGTGGAGGTCCAGATCACCCCAGGTGAGACCACCCAGAAACGAAGCAAGTGCATGGGGCAGCCCTCCAGTCCAGGTGGGAGGCCTCTGCCAGCCCACTCCTGTGCCTCGGCCCGTGGATGGCCACCTCATCACCCAGCTCACCCGGTAGAAGGACACTGCTTTCTCTCGCTCCCAGGTCCCGTTGAAGAAGATGTCCCCAGCCGCCTCAAACAGCTCCAGCCCCAGGTTGGGGTCCCCCGTGTACAGGGCCGCATTCTGTGCCACCTGTGGGCATGAAGGAACTCCCATGAGACCCACAGTGCTCTGGAGGGAGCTCACAGCCTCCCCAGCCGCCCCCAGGCCCTTGAGGCGGCCCTGAGGACACACGACACTTGCGCTGGGTGTCTCTTTCCTCTCCCACACCTCCGTCCCTCAGCAGGGACTGGCCTGGTTCCAGTCCCCGTACAGCTGGGGACATCAGCTCCCACTACATCGCAGGGGGAGCACCATCCAGCTGGGGCCTCGGGAGTTGGCAGGTGTGGGCTGCCGAGGACTCTGGGACGGAGCTCAGAGGGGCCTCTGAGTCCCGCTGGCCGCTCCCGGACCCTGGCGTTCTCTCCTCCAGCTTCCCCTCTACTGTTTATTTTCCTCCGCGGCCCTTGGCAACACCTGCCCGTCTCTCCCACCGGATGCTAAGGCTGTTGGTTCTCCCATGCATCCGGGGCCCAGCAAGGTGCCTGGCGCGTTAACAGGTGCTCAACAAGCACCAGGAGTGGACAGGAGCAGGCTAGCCCCGCGAGCAATCCAGAACCCCCCGCACTCCCATGCACCTCTGGCCTTCGCCCCTGTGAATCCTCCTGGTGGCTCCTGCGAGCACCACCACACCCCTACCCACAGCCCCGAGGCGGCCCCGAGTCAGAGCTGTCAGAACTGCCCCCGCCCCCGCCCCAGCCAACAGCTCCCGCTCTGGGATGCTCAGCCCCTGGACCAGGGAAGTACACAGCAGGTGCTCAAAAATGAAAGTACTCATGAGCCTCACGAGCCTCTCAATTTACTCAAAATCATGTCATGTTTGGGAACTCAACTGGAAATGGAGCTCCTGTGACGAATGCGTTTTTTAAGGAGACAGGCCATATGCTGCCGAAGCAAGTTCTTCATCTGCATGTTTATTGAGCACTTGCTGTGTACCAACACACTGGTGGGCGTGGTGAGGGGGCACAGGCATCTGGGCCCCAGGGGCTCGGATTGTTGTGGAAGATGCTGGGCGGCAAGGGGTCCAGGGTGGGGGTGGCAGGGGCAGCTGGCAAGCAGCAGGTGCCCGCAGTGGGTTGGGGATGAAGGAGAGAGCGAGCCGGGGAGCGGAGTGTGCACGCATGTACCCCACACCCTTGCACCTGGATGTACAGATCCACCAGTTCATTCTGCTGGAGGATGTAGTAGATCTTCCCTGCCTGCAGCCAGGCATGCGCCTCCTTCTCCTTCTTCTGGAGGTCGATGAAGATCCCCAGACTGCGCTTGGTGTAGTCCAGCGCGGACTTGTAGGCCCTGGAATTAGAGCCGGCTGGTCAGAGCAGGCGCTCCCAGGCCAACGGCCTGCAAGGGAGCATACCAGGCTCTTCCCAGTGCCTGTCAGGTGACTTCTGCGCATCCGGCAACAGTAAAGGAGGCTCTCTGGAGGGAATGGGGAGGAGGGGCGGGCCACCTTGTCTCTGCACCCCACCCCGACTCCCCAGACACAGGCCCACGACCCCTCCAGCCACAGCCTGGAATATCAGCGCTGGGCAGAGATTTACAGATAATGTAGGCCAGCGGTTCCCAAACTCGGGTATGATTGTAGGGCCCTGCTCCCAGAGCTTTGGACTCAGCAGGTCTGGGGTGGGGCCTGACTGTGCATTCCCAGGAGGCTCCCAGGTGACGTGGATGCTGCTGATCCAGGGACCCTGCTTTGAGAAGCATCGATCAAGGTCACTGTCCATTAGTCCTGCTGTGAAACTGAGGCCCAAGGGTGTGGGGTGGAGGCGGAGATGGGCCCGTGGCTCCTTCCCTGCCTCTCAGTGAGTCCCCAGCTGGATGGGGAGGTGATCAGTGATCTTTCCGGGCCGTCCGTTACCCCATCTGATCAGGATGCTCAGTGTGGGCATCACCCTGGACATGTGACCCTGAAACTCTGCCCACAAGAAGCAGGTGGGACAGCCAGCTACCTCTCCGTGGATGAGAATCCTTCAGTTCAGGTCCCTGTGGCCACTGTGTGTGTCATCCGAGGGGACAGTTGGGGACAGGCTGCCCGGCCCAGGACTGGACTGGCCGGAGGAGACTCAGGGCAGGCAGAGGTCAGCTTACTAAAGCCACCACGACAGGAAGAATGGCCCAGAAACGCACACGCTGCCTCCACCGGGAGGTTAGGAGGTGTGTGGGCAGAGGACAGCTGTCCTGGGACCCACGAGCCCTGGTCGGAACGACCCCCAGGCCCGCCAGCTCAGAGCCTGTCATTCCTCAGACACTAGGAATGAAACGGTCCTTGAGGAGAGGTTGCCCCAGGATCGGGGCCGGTGTCCTTACCGCTCGGTGCCCAGCGACAGGTAGAGCTGGCTGATGGTCTCTAGGAGCTGGCCCTCCAGCACCTTGTCGGCCACCCTGCGGGCCAGCGAGAGCTGAAACTCGTGGTAGACGACGCACTGGGCCTCGCTGGGCATGACTCTGCTATAGAAGTGACAGAGCCGCTGGACGGCTCGCAGCTGGCCTGGGCGGGGAGACGGGAGGAGCACGTCACCATCGTGCATTGCAGTGACATGGGACATCTGCAGGGCTCAAAGGCCCCTGCTGTGTGCCTGCATCTTCCGTGCCTCCAGCTGGGGTCGTGGCAGATGGGGAAACTGAGCTCAGACAGGCTAGGCCACCTACTCAAGGTCGCGCAGCCAATGCACACACTGTGGTGAGCCCAGACAGAGCATGTCACAGACACGCTGCTGACCACTTCCACGATTCCCAGGCCTGGGGGTCCTGGCCAGTCCCTCCCAGCACACTGGGCAGCCTGCCTCTGCTTCCCAAGACCCCTCTTGGCCAGACAGGGGCTGCCTTCACACCACACCGACCGGCAGACAGCACCAGCCTCCCCACGCTGCAGGCAGGCATGCTGAGTCCGAAGCAGAGTACCGGGTCTGGAGCGCACAGCGCACGGTGGGGCTGGGATTCAGACCCAGCTTCCAGCTCCTTTACGGAGCCAGGCTCTGAGCCCACAGCCTTACTTGCCTCGCCTGAACCAGGGGGCTGAGGGCGGTCGAGCACTTTCCCCACCAAACCGATCCAGACATCAAGGAGGACACAGATGATCAGAACAACCCCGTGACCCATGTGACCTCACACGTCCCGTTCTCCGGGACAGATCATATGCCGAGTCCCAGAGCAATTCTCAGTACGTGTGAGGGGATGGGTGTCTTACAAAGCATGGAACGAGACCAGAAATCAGTAGGAAGGAAGTTCGGGAAATTCACGGATATGTGGGCGCAAAGAATGCGCTCCTCAACAGCCCGCGGCTCGTGGAAGACATCACAACGGGAACTCGATGGTATTTGCAGATGAGTGGAGATAAAAGCACAACGTACCCAAACCTACAGGATGCAGGACTGCAGCGTTTAGAGGGACTGTCTAGCTCTAAATGCCTACATTAAAAAAGAAAAACTTCCGATAAAAAATTTAAACTTCCACCAAAAAGAGGAGGTAACTAGACCCAGAGCAAGCAAAAGGAAGGAACAACAAAGGTTCAAGAACAAAGGTAAAATAGTAACATTGAGAAGAGAAAAACCGAGAATGTGAATGAAACTGAATGATGGGTCTTTGGGAAGATGACCAAATGGACCAAGAAAAGCTGTAGAATTGTTAGAATCTGACGGAAACAAAAGGCACAAAAGGAGATGAACGATTTATGCCGACAAAGGTCAACCTCGCTAAAACGGACAAACCTAGGGAGACACAAGCTACCAAAACCAGCTCAGAGAGGATGGAGCGGCCCTCAGTGTCCTTGAGGTTTAGCACGGGGGGAGGGGGACAGCGGGCCTTGTGAGCGCAGCCAGGACCTGCCCGAGGCTGCAGGGCATGTCTAGGGACCTGGCTCTTGGTTCCTCCTAGGGGTCCAGAGGGTCCCCTTCCGGGCTCAGTGAGTGTCCTATATCCCTCAGTGGCTCCCCAGTGCTCTCGGGGAAAATGCCAGGCCACCGTCTGGATTCCCTGGCCCCTGCTTGGGTTCTCACCACCCACCAACCAACGCAAACTATCCCAAACTCTGCATCTCCCTGCATGGCCCAGCCTACTCACCCCAGAGCCTTTGCAAGGGCTGCACCTTCTGCCTGCCCTCCATCCCATGCTTGGCTAAACCCTCCTCAACCCTCAGGTCCCATGAGTCGGGGCCAGGAGCCTCCCATCATCACGAGGAGTACCCCCTTTTGTGCCTCCTGTGACCTGGGCATCAGTTTCCCACATTTGGCCAGCAATGGAGCCTGCACAGAGCCTGGCGTGCCCCGAGAGCCGCCACCCAGCCAGCCTCAAAGGCACCTGCAAATATCTGCAGGTTTCTACCACTCAACACTCTGGATGCTGGGAAAACCACCCCTTGCCTCCGGGTCGCAAACCCCGGGCGTGCTCTGGGCAGAAATGGAAAGAAAACACGTTATCTCCCAGGAAGCTGGCGCGTGGACCCTGACCCGGGGAAGAGTGGGGCCGGGAACTGGGCGCTGCTGACGCTTACCCTCCAAGTGGTCCGTCTCTACGGCGACCAGAAAGGCCCATTCGTAGTAGCACTTGCCCTGTCGGGCAAGGGCCCTGCGGGTGTACAGGTGGCCCAGCCGCAGGAGCACCCAGGTGAAGTCCTGGCCGCACTCTCTGCCAGGCAGCCGCGAGAAGAGCTTCACAGCCTCCAGGTGGTAGTGCTGGGCCAGGCCCCCCGCGCCGGCCTGCAAGCACAGGGCCCCGAAATTGGCCAGGACCACTGCTTGGTTCCGCAGCTGGCCCCGGGTCCTGGCCACTCGCAGGGCGCGGTAGTAGCCCTCGGCCGCCTGCCGGGTCCTGCCCGTCCTCCTCAGGGCCACGGCTGCCATGTTGGCGATCACGCCCTCCTGGTCCACACTGGCCACCGCCATGTCCAGGACGGACTCGAGGATGTCCAGGGCCACTGCGCTCTGGCCGCAAAGCACGTACAACCAGGCCAGCGCCACCACGTAGTCCACGGCCAGGCGGCCGCCGGCCCCCGCGGCCGCTTCCACGGCCTGCGTCATGAAGGAGATGGCCCTGGCCTGCTGCCCGTGGCGGCTATGCAGCTGGGCCAGGCTGGCACAGAGGGGGCCGCGCAGGGGGCCCGAGGCCACGGAGGCCAGCGCCTGCCTGAGGTAGTGCGCCATCTGGGAGGGCGGCCGGTGGAGCCGGGGTGAGTTCCGGAGGACCAGGTCTGCGCTCCGGAGTGAGCTGCCCGGCGAGCCGCGGGCCCGCAGCGAGGCCACCCTGACGCAGCTGAGCACCAGGTGCGGCAGGCACTGGCGGCTATAGATGTCCGCCAGGAGCAGGTAGCCGTCCGCGGGCCATGAGGCCTCCGGGGAGCCCAAGGCCCCGTGCAGAAGCAGCATCCTCTCCAGGAAGGGCAGCGCCTCCTCGGGCTGCTTGAGGCGAGCGTGGTGCTTGGCCAGCAGGAAGCAGGCCCGGGCCTCGGCCTGGGGGCTCCGGCAGAGGATGGCCCGGCGCAGGGCATGCCTCAGGAGCTCCGACTCGGCCTCGGTGCTGCAAACGTGGCTGGGCGTCCCCAGGAGCAGGGCCAAGGCCTTGGGCACCACCTGCGCACACTTGTCCCTGTTCTTCTGCTTCAGGTGAACGGTGGCCAGGTTGGCGTACACGGCTACCACCAGGAAGGGGTCGCCAAAGCGGCCCCCCAGCGCCCCCAGAGCCTCCTCGAAGTACACGCGGGCCTGGGACAGCTTGAGCCTGCGCACACACAGCCTCCCCAGGAGGAAGCAGAGCCTGGCGAGCGCCATGGGGAAGCCGGCCTTCTTGGCTGCTCCCCGGGCCTGTGCCAGGTGCCCGGCCAGCTCCTTCTCATCGCTGAAGCCACAGAACAGGGTGCTCAGCCCCGGCAGGGAGAGGTCGTACAGGCCACGGAAGCAGGCCTTGTACCCAGGCGCATCCAGGAACAGCAGCAGCGAGCCCAGGGCCTCCGGGTGGGCCCAGTCGGCCCCCGCGTCCAAGCCAAAGGAGGGCTCCTCGCTGTCCCATGAGCTTGCACCACTGGACGCCGTGCACAGACCCCAGGACACTGGCTCCTCGGGGCAGCCCTGGCTGGACTTGCATTGTTCTAGAACATTCTTCACCTTCTGGAGGGTCTCACGTGGCTCTGGGTGCAGGCAAGGCTGAGGCACTTCTGCAAAGCACCAAACCCCCCGGATGGATTAGAGTCTGATCTGGGTCCAGACTGGGGTCGGGACATCCCTCCGAGCCTCAGTGTCCCTGTCAGGTACTGCCTGAGCCTCCCCTACCTGAGCATCAAAATTTACGTGAAACGCCGAGCCCAGAGCCCAGCACCCAGCACTCAGGGGGATCTCAAACATGGTTACAAGAATAGGGATTGGTTTGGCCAAGCTTTTCACCCAGTAACCCCTTCCTATGCTTCCCGTTTGAAAGCACCACTCTGCAATCACTCAGAGTCCTTTCCCCTCCAGAAAGAATTAAAGCCACTTAACGGACAGACATGTCCACGTTCCTGGCTACAACCACCTCCGTGGGATTTCCCAGTGCTTGGGGGTCTCATTTTTCACCCCCGTGAAAAATCATTATGAGCCAATCAGAGCTATGGGTCAGCAGGTACTCACAAGCCACCCACAGAATGGACGAAACCAGCACCGCTGGAGGACAGCGATGTCTGTGTACCTCTGTCCAGCTCTGGCCTGGGACCATGTCTGGTAGGGAAGATGAGGAATGGCTCCCAGACCCCCAAGTCTCCACCTTCCCCCTGGCTGGTTTGAGAATCCGAGGTCCACAGCTACTAAAGGGACAAGGTGCTGGAGAATCTGGGGACGCCCACTGCCCAAAGCGCCCGCCCACCGGACTGTTGGCTTTGGACGGAGCCAGTGCCCGAAGGCACATCCAGGGCTGAGCTTCCTGTTGGGAAAACATGAGCTTAAAGGGGAATGTGTTTGGAAGGAAAGACCCAGCATCTAAAGACTCTTGTGCTTCGAGTTCACGTGCAAAAAATATGTTCAGAACTAACTCTCTTTATTAAAGGCTAGGAATAAAAAAGAATTCAGTGTGGTTCAGGGGCAAATGTCTGACCTGACTACTAATGTGTGGGTGTGAATGCACCCCCACCCCTCCAATGCTGGCGGGTCCTGCCTCCCCTCACTCAGCAAGCCCCGGGCTGCAGGGAGGGCCTGGGAGTAGCCCTGGTATATCCAGAACTTTCCTTGTCCAATACCCAAAGTGTCCCTTCCCTGTTTGCGTCTAGGTGGACCCCATTCCCAGGGAACCCCAACGGGACCTCAGGCATTCAAGTCCCCAGGATCTCCCCGATGCAGACCCTCTGTGGGGGGATGAGATGGTGGTGTGGGAGGAGGAGGGGGTCTCCCTTAACCAGCTTCCCGGGGAAGAAGAGGCAGATCCCAGAGGGATTTCTGCAGCACGAAGCTCCAAATACAGGCCCTATACCTGCTTCACCCTCTCAAAGCAGAGAATTTCAGCTGGTCTAGGTTTCAAGAAAGGAACCCATGATCAGCCATGGGCTCAGGTCAGGCAATGGAGAGGATGCCCCCACCTTAGCTGGAGGGCTGGCGTGTTCACAGGGGACCCACCACCACAGCAGTGGGGGGCTTCACCTTTACCTCATCCACCTCCCCTGCAGGGCCGGACGCCCCACCTGCCCTCCCTCCCCACGAAGGTGTGAGGCCCCGCCCAGCACCCCATCTGTACTCAGCTCTGCAGCCTCCACCTGGCATCATCCCCCGAGGCCCCACCCGTCCCCATAGGAACTCTGCCCTGTGGAAAGAACCTACCTTGTTCTTCCAGCTGGCCGAACTCGGCTTCTTCGAATCTGTCTGAAATGGGAGAGAAACGAAGCATCACCCTCGGCCAGCACCTCTGGGAGGGGCCATGTCAGGAAGGGGTGGTGACACAAGACAAGAACGCTCGGGCAGCCTGAGGGGCTGTGTTGCTGGGGGATCCCCTGGTTGGTCGAGGGGCTGAGAACCCCCATCTTGCAGGCTCTGCCCCACCCCACCCTCTCCAGAGGCTGCGTGCTTCTGCGGCCACCGCTCTGGGAACAGGGGTGCGCTGCCCACCATGGGCAGCGCTCGGCCTCACCGGCTCTCCCCGGGTACAGAGGGGAGTTCCACTGCGCCCCACCCTTCTCTCACCAGGGCCAGCCCTCCCTAAGCCTCGCTTTCCATCTCCTGAAAATGGGCCGACGCTAGCAGCTGGCTGGGAAGAGTCGTATAAGGTGTGAAGTCACCTACGACAAACGTGCAGGCTCGCGGGAAGCTCTGCGGCCCCCGGAGGAAGAGAAACCCCAGAACGCCCCCCCTGCACTGAGGGGTGCTGACAGCCTTCCTAAAACAGAAGACATCGCATGCCAGGCTGGCTTAAGCCTTATACGCTCAGCTGAAATCTAAGTTTGCCTGTTTAGAAAAACCAATCTGTGGGAACCTAGAAAGTTTAACTCTGCTGTTGGTGGAGAAGCTCCCACAGTGTGCGTCAGCATGTAGACCGCGAGCAATGTGTGTATGTGTGTGTGCGCACAGGTGTGATGTATCAGTGTGTGCATGCATGATGTGTAGGCATGTGCACGTGTGATATGTAGGTGTGTGCACGTGTGATGTGTAGGTGTGTGCATGTGTGATATGTAGGTGTGTGCATGTGTGATGTGTAAGTATGTGAATGCAGGATGTGTTGGTGTGTGCACATGATGTGTGTGCATATGTGTGGTATGTGTGTGCACGCATGATGTGTAGGTGTGTGCACGTGTGATGTGTAGGCGTGTGCACGTGTGATGTGTAGGCGTGTGTACGTGTGATGTGTAGGCGTGTGTACGTGTGATGTGTAGGTGTGTGCATGTGTGATGTATAGCTGTGCACATGTAATGTGTCAGTGTGTGCATGTGTGTGCATGCGTGATGTGTAGGTGTGTGCACATGTGATGTGTTGGCGTGTGCACATGTGATGTGTAGGTGTGTGCACATGTGATGTCTTGGCGTGTGCACGTGTGATGTGTAGGTGTGTGCATGTGTGTTCATGCATGATGTGTAGGTGTGTGCACGTGTGATGTGTAGGCGTGTGCACGTGTGATGTGTAGGTGTGTGCCTGTGTGTTCATGCATGGGCGTGTGCACGTGTGATGTGTAGGTGTGTGCATGTGTGTTCATGCATGATGTGTAGGTGTGTGCACGTGTGATGTGTAGGTGTGTGCACGTGTGATGTGTAGGTGTGTGCCTGTGTGTTCATGCATGATGTGTAGGTGTGTGCACGTGTGATGTGTAGGCGTGTGCACGTGTGATGTGTAGGTGTGTGCATGTGTGTGCATGCGTGATGTGTAGGTGTGTGCACGTGTGATGTGTCGGTATGTGCACGTGTGATGTGTAGGTGTGTGCCTATGTGTGCATGCATGATGTGTAGGTGTGTGCACGTGTGATGTGTAGGCATGTGCACGTGTGATGTGTCGGTATGTGCACGTGTGATGTGTAGGTGTGTGCCTGTGTGTGCATGCATGATGTGTAGGTGTGTGCACTGTGATGTGTAGGCGTGTGCACGTGTGATGTGTCAGTGTGTGCACGTGTGATATGTAGGTGTGTGCCTATGTGTGCATGCATGATGTGTAGGCGTGTGCACATGTGATGTGTCGGTGTGTGCATGTGTGATGTGTCGGTGTGTGCCTGTGTGTGCATGCATGATGTGTAGGTGTGTGCACTGTGATGTGTAGGTGTGTGCACGTGTGATGTGTCGGTGTGTGCACATGATGTGTGTGCATGTATATGTGTGGTGTGTGTGCATGCGTGTGCACGTATGTAAGTGTGTGTGTGTGCGCACACTTGTATTCCCCTCCACCCGCGGGATGAAGGAACCGGCTATCACGTTGCACCCACAGCCGTCGACCAGCAATTTTCCTCGGCGCCATTCCCTCTGTTGCTGCCCACGCACTCCCCACCTCAGCTGTGGCCCTGCCTTCCGAGGACAGGGCAGTGGGGCGAAAGCAGAATTGTCTTTAGAGGGTGGCAGCCCCGGGGTCCAGCGCTGGCCCCCCAGCGGTCAGGCAACCCGGCCAGACCACAGCCGCACGAGCCCAGGCCCCTCACGTAGTGACGGGAGAACGGTCGCTCCCACACACACTGTGGGAGAGGCGGCACGTGGGCAGAGGCCAACCCCAGGTCTGTGTGCCACCCTGCCCCCCCCCCCGGGGGACTGTGACTCTTAGGCCAGCACTCCCCGGGCAGCAGGGAGCCCCGGGGCCACTCGGGGGCATCTCCCTGCCCCTTTCTCTGTACCCCCCTCTGCGTCTGGCCCGCTGCCCCTAGATGTCCCAGAGGAGTAGCACCATCTGCTGGTCACTTTTAAGTGCCCAGGGGTTGGCGCATGAAGCTGGGCCTCCTGGAAGGGGATGGGGGGCAGGGGTTGCTGTGAGCAGTGCACGGAAGCCGAACAGTCATGCTCCACCGAGGGGACAGTAGCATGTCCTGGGCCGGGGCTGGCGGCCAGCAGCCGGTGCGGCCCTGTGGGAAAGCGGTCTGCCTCCAAACCCGCCTGTCCCTCTGCGAATCTGCCTGCAGAAACTGTCCTGAGCACCTGGCGGGAGGGGGCGGCCAGCTGCAGGTCCTGTGACGCCCCTGCAGCCAGGGGGAGGCGCGGGAGGAGGAGTGCCCCACCACCCACACCCCACACCTACCTAAGCTGTACACCGTGCAGACGTCTGCACCGGATGCCCTCCCCAGCAGCTGCCTGGCATCCTCCTCCGAAAAGCGTCCTTCATTGCTGAAGAATGACCTTTCTTCCTCATTGAGAAAAATCACGTCTTCCAGCCTGGAAGAAAAAAAAAAGGTGCTTTATTTAAGACAGCACGTTTCCTAAGTAAGACCCATTTCCACTCTCTCATTTGAGCAACAGGACCCTCACACCTGCTCTGTGCCCAATGATGAAGACAGAAACAAAATAGATCTGTCCTCAAGGCTGCCTCATCCCACTGGAGGCAGACGTCCAGGAGCAGAATAGGTGGCTATGGACCCAGTAGGTCGTGGCAGCCAGGGAAGGTGAGCTCCTAGGCAGCCTGCAAAGCCCCACTTCAAATGCCCCTTCCCCTGCGAAGCAGGTGGTGACAGCTGTAGGCAGACATCAGTCCCTTCAGTCCTGAGCTCCCATGGCTCCACATACGGCCTCTGCGGGTGCTCCCTGCAGCGCCCCACACAAACACGGAGCGTGAGTTTGCGCCAGGTCAGGGAGATGGAAAACAGGAAGCAGAGCAGGGAGAGAAAGAACAGGCGAGTTGCGCCTGTAGGACTAAATTAGCAGCATTAATAGGAAACTTTGAAAAGCACTTGGAAACTGGAAGGAGCTATTTGGAGACATTGAAGAAAATCTCAGAGCGACGTCTGGAACATCCGACAAAACAACAGGCCTGTGTTCCTCAGGGACGCAGCATCCTGAAGGTCAAGGAGTTGAAGGAACTGTCTCGGACTCAGGCGGCGAGGCTGGTGCCACGTGGTCTGGAACTTTCTCTGGGTTTGGAAGGCATGCCTGGGACACTGGCAAGATCTCCTCCAACAGCCGTCCCAGCTCAGGCAAGCCACGCAAACCCAGCCGTCTGCGCAGAGATGCGGCCTCCCCTGGACGAGACAGGAATTGTCTAGACCGACGGTCCCCAGACAGTGTTCCACGGAACACCAGCCGCTGGGGCTGTGAGAGAGGGTCCTGAAGGTGAAGTCAGTGCAGAAACAGATTCCAACAGGGGAAGGTCAGACTTCGCAGTGCCTTCCTAGTGCGGACCGCCAGGCAGGCACGCAGGGGCGTCCCCACCTCGCGGGAGCTCTGCCGAGTTGGCGACAGAATGCTGGGAGGAACGCACTTCGGGAAACGTCAGTCTAGCCGCGGCTCTCAGGTCCAGGCCAGCAAGCTTTGAGCCGCTCCTGACGAGCAGGTGCAACACTTTTAAGTTCGCCAAGCCAAAGCGGCCTTCGAGATTTGGTCTGGGAGGCGCTGGTCTGTGAATGACCCCGGATGTCGAGGCCAGAGGATCCCCTGCAGACGTGTGCAGGAGGCCAGGCCCCGGGGCCCGGGGACAGACCCAGTGAAGGCCTTTCCATACACCCACCTTCTCTGGGCTCCCCAACTGAGGTCTTCACAACGGAAGCTCAGGGCCAGGGGAACAGAAAGGCCCCAAATGATGGGCATAGCTTGTGGACCGCTCTCCCACGACGCCCGTGCTGCTGCCCAGGGCCACACAGCGGGGACGCTCAGAACTCCCCAGATGGGGTGGGCACATCATCAGCAGGTGTGGGGGGGTCCATAGGGAGAGGAGCACATCCCCAGGGAAGAGCCACTGGAGAGGGGACTTGGAAAATGGGAGGGCCGGGAGGGAGGGGATGTCTCACTCGGGGGCGCACATGTTCACACAGTCGTTCTTGAAGGCGGACAGAACTGCACAGCTGGACTCAAAGTGCTCTGATGGCAAGTGTCAGCCTTTGACACGGGTGGTCACCAGGGTCTGGGTCACGGGGGGCCTTGAAGGACAGGCCCAGGGGCCGTGAAGGGCTTTGTGAGAGGGAGTGGCGTGGTGTGCAAGGGTGAATAGTGTCCCTCAAAATTCATTCATGTCCACCTAGAACCTCAGAAGGTGACCTTATTCAATAAAGGGTCTTTGCAGGTGTAATTAGTTAGGACGAGGTCACACTGGAGTAGGTGGGCCCTGATCCAAAAGCGGGTGTCCTTCTAGTAAGAGGGATGCACAGACCCATGGGGGCGGAGGGGGGGCACATGAGGACAGAGCAGAGATTGGGGTGATGCGGCCCCAAGCCCAGGAACGCTGCAGCCGCCAGGAGCTGGACGAAACTAGGAACGATCCTCCCCTGGCACCTCCAGGGTAAGCGTGGCTCCATGACCCCTGATTTGAGACTTGTGGCCTCGAGAACTGGCACAGAATTGCCCTCTGCTGTTCTCAGCCCCTGGCGGGTGGTGCTTTGTCACGGCAGCCCCCGGACCACGCTGGAGTTCAGGGAACAGCTCCTGCCCGGCTGCACATGGTGAAGGACACGGGGGTCCAGACAGGAAGCTGAACCAGACCCAGGGACAAGGGAACCGGGCCTGGACAGTGGCCAGGGGGAGGGACAGGGAAGGGAGCGCCGTCCAAGACCATGTCCAAGTTTGTCACCTGGGCGTCAGCCAAGGGCGAGGGCGGCAGGCTCCCCACAGGGCTAGAAGGGTGGGCTCGGGAGGGGGCAGGGCCTCAGCCACTCACTCAGACACTTGGCCCTGCACACTGACGAGACTCGTCCGCACAAACCCGACCTGGCCCGAGGCCGTGTGCCGGCCCAGGCACCAGGGCAGGCCAGGCACCTGGGCGCCCATGACCTTGATGACGTCGCCACCTTGGAAGGTCATCTCTTCAGGCCCGGAGCCCTGGTAGTCTGCCACCGCCGTGGCCAGGCCCGTGGCTGCAGGAGGGGGGTCACACAGTCAGCGCTAGGGGCAGACTCAGGGTGGCCCTCTGCCGGGAACGGGTGGTTGGGGTTGCAATGAGGCATGGCCACTGCACCCAAGGGGCTGGGCCTCTAGTGGTTCCTGGAGGGGGCACTTGATCCCCACACTGAGGAGGAGAAACTGAGGCCCAGGGCCGCCCACCTCCAAGGCCAGGGACTTCTCTGTCCCACCCCGGCAAGGCCCGGCTGGGGCCCATCCGGGGCAGATGCAGCTGTAAACATAGGTCCCTCTCCCGTGGGGCCTTATATTCACTGAGCAGGTACACAAGGCCATCCCTGCACCAGTGGCTTGGAGCGAGGAGCCCAAGCTGAAGGCCCATGCTGTCTTTTCAAGAGAAGCCCGAAGAACTAAGCATCAAGAGCCTCCATTAGTGCAAATTCAGCCGGAGCCTAGCCCACCCATGCAAGGGCCCTCCGGCATGTTGATTGTGCAAGCCAGAGAGAAAGCCATGCTTGATGGATGGCCTGTTGAGGGCGACACTCAGGCTTCCTGGAGGCAGTGACAGGGACCCGGCCTGGCCTCGCCGTACCGTGTAAAATGAAATCTGGACCAGCCTGTGGGACCTCTCTGAGCCTGAGTTGTCGCAACATGAACTGGAGAGGATTCTAGCTACCTCCTCCGGCTTGGGGAGGATTCAGGGTGAGCACAGAAGCTTCCAGAATGCTGGTGCCCGCCCCACTTTGCCAACCCCTTTCCCAGGGGAGGAAGGCCAGTGGAAGCATTTACCCATCAGTGGGATGTCCGATGTCACAGGTCCATTCACGGAGTCATCGATGGGGTCCCAGGGGACCCGAAGAGCCCATCTGGAGTGGGACGAGAGGGGATTTCAGGTGTGTGGCAAGTTCAAGCTGATCAACTGGACAGGTCAGCAGCCCCCAGGGACCCAAGGGAATTCCACCACCTGCCTGACTACACACACACACACACACACACACACACACACAAGTGTGTGGCCTTCAGGCCCAGGTGTATGGCACAGCCTGCAGGGAGCCTCGTGCTGCCCAGCCCAGGTGCCTCCTGCCCTGCCTCAGGCTGGCATTCGGGGAGACCTCCCTCCATTCGTCCAGGACAGAAGCTGAGCCCCTGCCTGTTAGTTCACAGCTTCTGAACATCTGGTCATCGAGTTTCCCTCTTTGCTTTGGCTGCCAGGAAGCTCCAAGCCCAGTTAATGCCCCACATCCAGCACGTGAGCAGGAACTTAACGTGCGACCCATCCTCGTTTACCCCAGCCTTTTTCTGCCTCGTGCCTCCTTACTATGGCTGCACATTTGGCCGCTCGTTCCCTCAAAAGCTTTCCAGAACAAGCCAGAGTAGGGGCGCCTGGGGGGCTCAGAAGGGTTAAGCGGGGGACTCTTGATCTCAGCTCAGGGCTTGATCTCAGGGTCGTGAGTTCAAGCCCCGTGTGTGACTCCATGCTGGGCATGGAGCCGACTACTTAAAAAAATAATAATGAGCCAGAACATGAAGTAAGAGTTCTGGCTGCACCCTCTTGCCCGGACAGCCTGGTGGGGAATGTCAGTGCCTCATGCAGGGGGCAGCCCATGGCCACACACTGGAAGCCGCAGAAGAGGGACCCGCGCGGGTCTGTCGGGGGCCCCTGTCCACCTCCTCTGCCCTGCGGATGGGCCGGGGCCTGGGGGGGGTCTCCGTGAGGCCCGACAACGCGCGGGACGGGCAGGAAGCACAGAAACAAGGTTCGGTACCTACTGATGAAATGGAATCAAAGTTTCTGGAGTGGCTGCCGCTGCCACCTCCTCGGAGAACGTGCCGGGGCTGGGAGCGGAGGAGTCCACTGCCGAGGCTGCCTCTCCCTGGGGAACCCCCGAGGCTCGCCTGAGGGCCCAGGGGCCGCTCCCTGCACCCCGGGGGCTGGTCTTCACTCGCACGTGGTGGTCAGGACACAGGACGAAGACAGGACCTTCAAAGTGACAGATGGTGTCCTTCAGGGTGGCTGGGCGCTCTGCCAGGTGGGACCCACCTGCCCTGCCAGGTGACACGTGTGAAGGCAGCCCTGCAGGGTCTCCCCGGCCCCAGGCTCTGCTCAGACCTCACCCAGCCTCAGACCCTCAGGGCCTCAGTTTCCCTGAGGGGCCTGACCCTTGACCCCAGGGGTCCTGTCTGCTGGGACCGCCCCTGGGAGCCCGGCCCCCTCTCTTCTTCTTTGAGGCTAGGGTAAGACAGGCAGCTTTGGGTTACGTTTGCTGCTGACTTGCACCCCATGATGAGGCCACCATGGCACTCAAAGCAATATCGGGTCAGGACCTTGGGGTGGGGGTGCCGCTTGCTTTGAAACACCTTCACTATCATTTCTTGGGGGCCTGACCAGGTCTTTACAGCAAAGTGACAGGGCCCGGGCATTTCACGGCCAGGGTCCCCCCATGTACCCCTGCGTGAGGCCCCGTCAGTCTCCCCGCACACGCCAGAGCCTCCAGGCCCTCCTCCCCTGGGCATCCCGAGCACAGCGTGGGGCCAGCCCATGTCACCGTCACCACGCGGTCCTCACCTTCCTGGGCGAGGAGGCTCTCGTGCGTCAGCCTCAAGGCCTCCTGGTCCACGTGGACTTGGACGGCTGTCTCCTCGTCCTCGTTGGGTGAGAGCAGCCAGAAGGCCTGGTCCACGAGTAGATTTTCCAGGCAGTGATGAGTGAAGCCTGGGGGCCAGACAGGCTGGGTCACCAGCAGGCTCCAAAGGGAGGCAGGGAAGCCTCAGGGCCCCGGTCCTGGGGGATCGCTGTCCTGCTTCAGGGACTCACAGCACCATCTACAACTCAGGCCCCAGGTCTGAATGTCTGGGTGGACCGACCGTGACCATGGGCGACACCCTGGACTTCCCTGTGTGCCCTGGCGAGTTTGGACAAGGACAAGTCGCTTGAATGACCCTAAGTCTCCTCATCCATGAGACGGGACAAGAACATTCAAGGAGAGCAAGTGCGCTCGGGAGTTGGCACAGGCCCCACGCAAGATGCTCAAGACGCTGTCACTCTTATTTTCCACTCTCTCAGGCTCAGACCGAGGTGGCAGAGCACGGTTCCCCAGAGGATGCAGCCGGACCCCACAGACGCCTCCCAACGGATGAGGGTGCTTTAGAAAGCAAGCTCTTTGTCCGGGCTGGAAATAACCCGGTCTGTGCTCAGCGGGTCTGAGCTCAGCCTCCCTTGGGGTCTGGCCGCGCAAAGTTCCGCACACAGCGCAGCGCGGGAAGGGACGCGGAAGGCGGCCTGGGTCTCCGCACAGACCCTGTGCCTCTGCACCCCTCCTGTCATGCCATCTCTCCCCGAGAGCAGGTGAGCACTAACTCCCGCGGCCCACTGCCCCGGCCCTTGTGAGCGGCGCTGTGATGAAGCCTGATTTATGACATCAAGGGCTCGTCCGTGTGTGACAAGTGTCCTCTAAGGGGAGTCCCCACAACCAGCTCTGGGAGGGACCCCACTTTACCAAGAGCATGGTAGGTGGAGAACTTCCAGATTTCCTCGAAAGTCTTAAAGGTCACCACAATCCGATCCTGGTCACTGTGGATAGACAGCAGCCTGGCCGACAGCTCCTATGGGGAAGAACAACAGTCCCGGGCCGGGGGTTTTCAGGCATCTGACTGCCAGGAGGACAGAGCCGCACAACAGAGGTGTTTTGCACAAGTGACCCAGGCAGGCGAGGAAGCACAGAGCCGGTTCTTTTACGGCCCGAGGCTGGGGCCCTCAAGCCAGCCGTGGCTCCCCAGTACCTGTGCCAAGCCCTGCTCCTTCCCAGAGCCCCTGCGGGCTCCATGCTCCGGCCCCTGCCCTCCGCGACAGCAGGTTCCCCCCGAAGGCTGGGCTCTCAGCCCTGTGCCACCCAGCCTTGCCTCGCAGCCCTTCCCGCAGCACCGACGCAGGGATCCGTCCTAACTCCGGCACCCCCTCTCCTCTGACTCCCATCCCATGAACGCTCCGGGTAGCGACTGGGCAGGAGCGTCACTCCAGCACTTGTAAGGCACAGAGTGTGTGCTGGGGAAGGGGTGCTACTCTGCACTCCGCTTGACAGACTGAAAACTGAGGCCGCGTTTCTTCTCCAAGGTCTGACCCTCAGCACGTGGCACGGCCGGGGTTCAGCCCCTTGCCTGACACCACACAGGGCTGGTACTCCGGGACTCTGCTCCTTGGCTCTGTGGGGTAACAAGTACGCATCCCTGACAGGTGGCTGAGGGAGCTGGGTTCACAGAGGCCAAGGTCAGGCGGGCTGGCTGCAAGGTCACCTGGTGGCTGCCTAGCCCTAAGCCCCAGGACCTCTGTCATGGAGAGGTCGCCCTGCCCAGCCCACTCCTCGGCCACCATCCTGCCAGAGCGTCCACTGTGCAGAGGCCAACAGGGGCCTGGCTCCATCATCAGAGTAAGATCAGCACACACCAGTCCTTCTTGCTCCCCATAACAGGGACTTTAAGAGTTTCAGCAGGGTGGGGGGCACGGAGAGAGGGAGGGGACCTGGGAGCACCGTGGGCCACGTGTGGCCAGAACTGCAGGTGTGATCGGTGGCCCCCTGACACAGACATCCAGGAGAACAGCCAGGGACAAGTCACGGTGCCACCATCTGTGGCCTTGGCCCCTCAGGGACCTGGGCATCAGGCTTGGAGACCCTGTACCTCCCTGGGCCCCCTGATCTCAGCCAGCCTCACCCCCAGCGCACGGGCCACCTCCTGGCTGTCATTTTCCAACAGGCGGAGCCGGCTCCTCACGGTCTGCTGCAGGCTGGGGTCTGGCAGCCCCGTCTTCCTCCGCACGGCCAGCAGCTGCAAGGTCAGGTCTGGGAGAGGCAGCAGGGAGCCAGCACTCAGCAAAGTCACCAGAGTCACCACGACCTCCGGCCCCGACCTCTCCCACCGCTCCAGACAGGGGCATTCAAGCTGCAGCACATCACCCACAGGTGTCCCAGGACTTACCATCCTCTCCCCTAAACTGACCCCTCCCCCTCCCCCTCCCCCTCGTTCGCATTTCCAAAAGGGTTCCCAGCCCCCACCCAGCTAGACCAAGGACACCTCCCTGCACCACACAGCACCCGGGTCCACCGGTGAACTGCAAAACCAGGCCGAACCCTCCGTGGCACCACTCCCCGTGGCCCGGGTCCCATAGGTCTGCCCTGGACGGTTGTCCGGGCCACACCCCCCAACTCCACGCAGCCCTCCTGTCCGCGGAGAGCCGGAGGGTCTCATTAATGAGCTGCACGGCCCCGCTCTCAACCCTCCCAGGTCGCCTCCAGCCACGTGGAGCCTTTGAGTTCTGGAAATATGGCCAGTGCAACTGTGGCAACCAGATTTTTCATTTTAATTCAGTTAAATGGAAACATAAATCGTGTGGCTCCTATACTGGATAGCATGGCTGCAGGCTTTTCCTTCTCAGGGAGACTAAGATACAAGCCCTTTCCACCTTCCCACCAGCACAGCCTCGAACCTCTGGCTCTGCTCCCCTCATCACCTCTTCTCTCCCTCCCCTCTAGCCTGGGGCCTCTCTGCTGCCCTAGGACATCAAAGCACCCCCACACATCCTGCCCCAGGGCCTTTGCACTCACTACATCCTCCACCCGCAGCAGTCTCTCCCGGACCAAATCCTGGCCTGACAGGCTGCCCTACAATTCACATCTCTGCTCAAATGCCCCCGCCTGCCCCCACCCCTGCCCCCCTAAGAGGCCTCCCAACTGTGCTGAGAGCCCCAGAGCATGAGCTGCTCCGAAGGGGTGGAGGGGGGCATGGGAGAAGGGGGGAGGAAGCAGGAGGAGAGAGAGGGAGTAAGGGAGAGAGAAGGGGTGGGGGGGAAGAGAAGGGGGGAGGGGAGCACAGGGGAGGGGAGGGCAGAGGAGGGCAGTATGGAGACCACTGGGATCTGGAATCAGGCTCACTGCCCCCGCAGGAAGCATGCCCAACATTTCATAGCTGGTTCTGAGATGTGACACCTCCTACTCCTGTAAGAGGGCGGGTGGCGTTTTCAGACCCAAAATAATCTGCCACTTGCTCAACAGCCCCCGGTCATCGTGAGTGACCACAGGCAGCGCCGGCCCCCCCGGAAGGAACGTCGGAGGACAGGTGGGTGTCACGGCAAGGGTGAACCAAACAACGCTGGGGTTTCTGTGCCACCACCGCGGGGGGCCGGGAGTGGGGTCTCAAGGCTCGGGGGCTTCTTACTGCCCCGTCCCCCTCCGCCACCGAGGGCTGCCGCCCCTCATCTGCGCCCTGCAGAAATCCTGCTGATCCTCGGAGCCCCCTCCCCGGATGCCGTCCCGGGCCAGGCCTTGCCCCTCCCTCTGCACCCCCACAACACAGTGGGCTGGTTGGTCTGATTTTACCACATCCCACCTGTGACCCCTCCCCAAGAGTCTCACTTCCCCCACATGTGGCCCAGCCTCTGGGGCAGTCAACTTCGGCCTTCAGGCCCCAAGCGGAAATGCAGAGTCCTGGGCCCTGCACCCCAGCAGGGCCGAGTCAGAGCCTGGGCGCGGGACCTGGCCGTCTGCACTTTACCAGCCTCCCCTCCCCCACAGCGATCCCCGGAGGGAAGTCTGGGGACCAGGCATTCCTGAACCCGCAGTCCACGGGACAGTCGAGGCTGGAGGGAAGGGGGCACGCCCAGGGACCCCACATTCACAGTCCTTCCCAGACTGAACCCTGCTGCACATGGGGGTACCCGCGGACGTCTACCTGTGGGGTACGTGCCCATCTGGCCGGGAGGGGTCCCAGCAGCCGGCCTGGAGCCCCCAGGGGGAAGACTGGCATCTGTTAATAGAGCAGGGTTGTGGGATCAAGGTCAGAACAGGCAACTCTCAGCTGTGCGGGCACAAAGCCCCCGATATTTCTGGAACAAAAGAGGTGTGTCCACACCCGTACAAACCACTGACCCCTCGAGTTCCCTGCCTCCGGGTCACAAAAGCCCAAGGAGGAGGGAGGGGGTGTGAGGTTCTCCCTGTGCTCCAACAGACTACCCCAAGCTTAGAGGCATCTGAAGACACCACCAGTGTCTTGTGTTGCTGGGCTGGAGTCTGGAAAGGTCTCACTGGCTAAAACCAAGGGTCAGCAGAGTTGCTGCCTCCAGGAGGCTCCGCGGGGAGAGTCTGTCTCCAGCTCTCAGAGGCGTCCACCCGCGCCCTTGGCCTGTGGATCTTCCTCCATCTTCCAAGCCGGAAGCCAGGCACCGTCAACGTCTCCGATTCTGACCCTGGGCTTATCTTCCCATCTTAGGATTCTTAAACCCATCTGCAAAATCACTTTTGCTACACGTCTGGGGACTAGGATGTGGACTTGCTTGGGGGCCACTGTCCTACTGACCCCAGAGGAAAGGGGGCAGCCCAGAAGGAACCCGGGGTCTGGGGCAGACAGGGCTGCGTCCCGGTCCATCTGCACGTCACTCACTGAGGGGGACATGGGCCCTCTCGGCCTTGAGAGGTGGCTCGGGTGCGGCTCACAGCCTGGCAGGATTAGCAAGGTACTCCAGAGTGCAGGGGGCCAGAGGAGGGGCGCCCCCGGGGGGCCGGAGCGGAGGACAGGCTCTGGAACTGGGTGGCAGCTCAGGCCTCTGCTGTCCAGGCAGGCGTCTGACTGCAGGCCTGCACCCCGTCGTGAGTCGGCACCCACGGGGGCCACCCCGGCCCTTCCTATCTCCCTCACGCCCAGAAGGCCTGAGGCAACAGGAACGAAGGTGCCTCTAGCTCTCACTATGCACCTTGTGAGGCTTTGTTTCCATCCTCCTAGTGCATCCGTCGTTCACTGGTCATTCAAGCATCTACTGAACATGTCCTGTGTGCCAAACCCCAGACCCCACGGGCAGCTAGGCAGGTGGCCCGGAGGAGGGTGCACGTGAGGACAGGGGGGTCTGGCGGGGAGGCTGGCGCCACGGGCTGTCCCGGGCTCAGGGAGGGTCTCCCCCTCTCCTTCCCTCGCCTCCAGGGCCCAAGGAGGTAGGGGGAGGCGTCCATGAGATCACCCAGCCCACCCCTCAGGTTTCCAAGTGGGGAAACTGAGGCCCCAGTCAAGCATTGACCAGTGACGATCAGGAATCCCAGCCTTGCTTCCGGGCTCAGCCTCATGTGCCCATGGCTCTGGGCTCATCCTCCTTCCACCAGGAAGCGGCCTGGCCTGGTCCTGGCTGGCCACTGGGGCCCTCCCCGGGGAGCGAGGGATGCCCCCTTCTGAGCAATCCCAGGGCTTTCTGTCCTGAGGACAAAGCAGGACTGTGGGTGCGCGAGGGTTTGTAACGGAGTGGTAAACTCATCGGGGGCCAGCCGTGGGCGGCCAGACAGTGGGGTGGACGGCACGTGCTGTACTCACCACCTCCGACCAGCGCCTCGGCCTCCTCGGGCCCTGCTCGCTCCCAGACGACCGATGGGCTCATGGCCACTCTCTGGGCCTTGTGGCCGCCGCCGCCGCCTCCCGAGGGTGCCGCAGGCCCTCTCCCCTTCGGGGCCGGCTCCTCCACGGGGCCCTCCATGCCTGGTGGCGGCCTCAGCGCCGGGGGCTCCACATACCCGCAGGCCGCTGGGGGGATAGGACAGGGTGTGGGTCAGCAGGGAGGCCTCCCCAGGAACACAGGTGCCCCGAGGACGCTGCTGCAGGGTTGGGGTCGGGAGGAGAGACGGCCTCCCGTTTGCCGGGTGGGCCTCTGCACATCCTTCAGAGCTTTGCTCGTGAATCAGTCTGTCGCTGCTTCTCCCACTCCGACGAGCCCCCGCCGCGGGCTCTTTCCGAGACATGGGCCAGCGCTGACCCGGTGGAGTGGGCTGGAAGCCGTGCGGGCAGGTGGGGACCCCGCTCCAGCTCATGACCCCCAGGAAGCTGCTCAGAGCCTGACGCGTCATGGCTGCTCAAATGTTCCTGCCAACGCCAGACAGACGTGGGGAACAGAGCAGAAGTCCTCGGGGGACACCCTGGCGCCTTGGACGTGAGCAAGCCCACCGCGCGTCCCGTCCAGCTAGGGCCGCAAAAGAGCCCCCCCGGAGACACCCATCTAGTTCCGTTTCCCACAAGCACCAGTTCCACTGTGACCTGGTCTTGGGTTCCCAGGAGATCTGTTGCTCCCACCGGAAGAGGCCTGGGCTCCAGCAGGGCCCCCGGAACGCCGTCCCACCCCCACGGGTCAGGAAGTGGGCCAGGGTCCAGGCCTCCCAGGGAGGGAAGGTGGCAGACGGCAGGGAAGGAGGAAGCGGCTGAGGCAGACGAGGCAGAACAGGCAATGGCTGCCCACCCCGGGGTGCCCTCGGGCCTCCCCCCAAGAGCGGTCATTATGCCTCACTCCTTCCTGGGGTCAGAGACGAGAGGCCGTTACAGATGGACAGACCGTGCTCTTGGGGTTGGGGCTTTGTCACCAATCAGGACACAGAAGAACAGAGAGTCCCTTTTCAGATGGGAACGTGGGGTGACAGGGGTAGGCCGTGAGGGGGGCCAGGGCTGGGGAAGGCGGGGCCAGAACCCCCGCTGCGGCCACAGGGATGGGAGCAGCCTTTGGCCCAGAGGAGATGAGCAATGGCCCTGCTCACTTGCCCGGAAGGTTGCCAAGAGCGCTGCTAGGTTGCACAAACAAGGGAACCCCCTCATTTCAGGCCTCCCTGAGCCCTGAACCTGAGCTCCGAGATTTCAAACCAAACCCAGGACAGGCCGGTGGGAATTCCCTCTGCACGGAGCATGCAGGGACAGGCAGGCACCCCCCTCACCCGCTCTCCGGGGCCAACAATGCCAACTGAGAAGCACGTCAGGCTTCCTCCTGGCCCACCCCCTTGCCTGGCGGATATTGGGGAGCAGGGCCCCTGTGACGGACAGAGTTCAGGGGCAGCCATGTGGAGCTCAGAGCCTGGACAGCCCCACCAGTCCCTGGTTCCACCTCCCTCCAGAACCCCAGGGGATTGGAGATGGACCCAGGTCCCCAGAACCTCAGACACAGGTGTTTGTCACCACCTGCACGTGCCACTGCTAGTCTGGGGGCGGGTTCTGTGACGGGCAGCACAGGAGGACAGGGAAAGGGGGCTGGGCAGTCAGCAAGGCCCCTGGGGGTGGTGGGAACCACCCGCAGAGGGGCTGACAGGTGGCCATCCACACTGCCAACAGCATGGGGCGTGGAGCGGGGGGGCAGAACCGAGACAGCCAGACACCACCTGTGTCCTCCTGTCCCCAAAGCCTCCATGCACCAGACCCCAGTGGGTGTCCCAGGGGCACCGCTCAGCTTGTGGCCCAGGCAGCCAGCTGGACGGGGACTCGGGGGAGCCTTGGCCCACAGGGGCTTCGCCCGGCCCGCTGCCCCTCAGACCCTCCCTTAAATGTCCAGAGTCATCACTGCTGGGGATTGGCAAGGCCGGCTTTTCAGCCCATTAGAAGCCAGGACTGCTCCTACAATCCAAATGAAAAACACAAGAAAGAGAGAGAGGTAGGAGTGGCCCTGGGAGTCACAGAAGCAGGGTACCCCGTGTTCCTGACAGGAATTACTCTGGTGCCCCTCCCGTGGCCTTGGGGCCAAACAGCCCCTCACTGCAGAGAAACGGGTGAAGCGGGCTGTCTGCCCCTCCAGAGGGATCCACGGGCCCCCAGCAGCCCAAGGCCTGCAAGGCTTGCAGAAGCAATGCCTCCAGGAGCCCCTACCCCCCCACCCCCAACTGGGACCTGAGTCCCATCCTGAACTACCTCTGAGGGGCAGGGGCACAGCCTGGGAGGCGGGGGCAAGGAGGCAAGGTGCATGCGGGGGACCCCCGCTCGGCCAGGCAGCCCCTCTCCTCTCCGGCAGAGCTGCTCTGCCCAGGGAGGGAGGGGCGGGGGCAGGCAGGGGCTGCTCCCTGCTCCAGGGAAGAAGCCACGGCTGAACTGCAGATGCCCAGAACCTTCTCCACGCAGCCTTGGCGAATGGCTCACATGTCATTCAGGCCGGGCGCCCTGCACTCCCTGCTCCCCGGTCCCCGTGCCGTCTCCATCCTTGTAAAGCATGAAGACCCTCGCCATTTTTCTGGACACAGCTCCGTGTGCGGGCCGCCCTGGCCGGCCCCACACCGAGCCCAAGCCTACGTTGCTTTCCCTCCTGGCTTCACCCCCCTGGGATCCCCGCCCTCGCAGCTCCCGCACCACTGGTGGCCACAGCTGGGTGTCAGGACCCGGATGCACAAGGGCTGCTGGACCAGCCTGCCATCTCTCTTCTCTTCCCTTCTGACACGCAGGGGTGTTAGCCTCCCTCTCCGCCCGGCCATGTCCTCCCCAGCCCCGGGTGCAGCAGGGGCCCAGCAGCTGAGCATCTCGCAGGACCTCGCCGGGTCTGGTGGCAGCCTCTCGTCCTGCTGGCCTCCGCCCCCGGGTCGGGACTGGCCCGTCCCTGTCTGCGTCCTGGGCCTCCGCGGGCCTGCTCCCCACAGCCTCAAGGACAGCTTCCTGAGGAAAGGGAAGGCTTCCTGGGCTCAAAGACCCTCCCACCTGCCCAGTGACGGATGTGCCCGAGCAGGCGGGGCCGCCAGGGACAATCTCAGTGCAGGGTTTCCTAGTCCCAGGCGGAGATGAGGAAGTGGGCCCAATCTGTGCAGGAGAGTTCCCCACCCCCCGCGGGTTCCTGTAACTGCCTCACTTGGCCTCACAGGCCCCGGGTCCTGCTGTAGACGCAGCTCCCAGACCTCAGCCCTGGCAGCTGAGCTGAGCTCCCAGGGGGCCAGGAGAGCTCTCCACGCCTCACTCTGCCCACCTGGAGGTTGAGAGCAAAACACCCCTGCCCCACGAGGAGGTCAACGGAGTAGACCAATGGTGCTCCACGATCACAGTTGGCACTTAATAAATGTGGGTTCCACAGAGGGAGAGGCAGTACCGTCCCAACCCTGAACAGGTTTGGGGGGGTCTGGTCGGAGCACTCACGGGGCTCGTACAGAACCAGTACCTTGTGGGCCCATGGAGACCTTGTCCCCTTCAGCAAGAAGCACCTCTAGAGAGTTGTCTGGTCACCCCTGGATGGAGGTGAATGGTGTCCCCCCAGATCCTGGCACCGCAGAAGGTGGCCTTACTTGGAAATGGGGTCTTTGCGGATCTGACTACTCAGGATGAGGTCACGCTGCATGGGGGGCCCTAATCCAGTGACGGTGTCTTAAGGAGGGACACAGACAGACACGGGGCAGGGGCCACGAGACCACAGAGGCCAGAGGAAGGGGTGCGGCCAGGAACCCGGGACCACCTGGAGCCCCAGGATCTGGAAGAGGCGGGAAGGAGCTTCCCTTGCAGCCAGTTCCCATCGTTGGGAGCCCCCCAGTGGGCCGAGCCCCGGGACACTGGTTCACCTGTAACCCCCGTAACCTTCCCTTTCTCTGCTAGGAGGCAGGGTCCACCTCACCTCCATCACGGCATTTTGTGAGTTAGGTGCACAACGCCCCATACAGGATGTGTCATTGTCACCAAGAGCCACCACCCTGAGGTGCTAACCAAGCACACCCATCTAATCTTCCTGATGACCTGGGGGAGGGGGCGCCACTGTGCCCATTTCACAGGCTCGGCGAGCTGCCGCGGGGACTCGGCCCGGCCGGGGGCCACAGACGGGATTGGAGCCCATGGGGGCCGAGCCCAGTACTGGAGCCCCTGCCCGTAACCGGCATGCACCCCGCCTCCCACCAGGAGTCTGGCCACGGCTCCCAGCACCAGTCAGCTCCACTAACTGCCACCAACGTTGCTTTGCCACAGACAGAGAGCTGGCGGGGGGCGGCTGGGGCTCCTGGAGGGGTCACTGGAAGCCGGGAGAGGGTCTCAGTGGTGTGCTGGGAGCACAGACCCAGCACTGGACCTGGCAATACACGTCCTGGGTCCGCGTCCCCCTACAACTGTCTGGTTGGTGCCCCTAGTCACAGCACTCATCCCCAGCCAGTGGATAGAAAAGAGCCCAGAGATGGTGACCTCAGAGTGGCCAGGTCAGAGCTGCAGAGCCACCCTGGGCTGTCTTGTGGTGTCCCTTGTGGTGTCTGCCCCATGTCGCACCCCCCCCAGGGTGGGGGCCCACTCGAGAGCCTGACACCCGGACTTGGACTCGGCTCCGCGCCCCATCCAGACCCTCGCACGCGCTCACTGAGTGCCCACGGGAAGGGGGGTCAAGCAAGATCACAGAAGCAAGGGGCTTCACCGGCTGGCTGCGGTCTCCTCACGGGCCCCCACAGCCTTCCGGACTCCCCCGGCTTCAGCTCTGCTCCCCACCGTTCCAAGATGCCAGAGGAGTCTTCAAGAAAGTGAAAGCTGACAGACTAGTCTTAGATCCCACCGTGGGTGGCAGGCCCCGGCTCTGTGGACCATGCCCGCTGGGCCCGTCCTTGTCCCCCCCACCGCAGCGCTCCCCCCGCCCCCCGCACCCCATACCTGCGTCCCGCTCCTAAGAGGCAGCTCCCGGCCCAGGGCAGGGGGGGGCGCGGTGGGGGGGCGCACAGCAGGACGGCAGGCCCCAGGTGGCTGCTCCCGCTCCTCGCTGGCTGGCCCTGCAGGCCGTCTCAGCCGGCCAGGACAGGCGGCAGCCGCCCACGGCCCGGCCGACTGCACGGCGGCCGCCACCACCCCCTGCTTCCTGCCACACTTCCTCCCTGCGCCGCGGGCCCGGCCCTCACGTTGGTCATTAGCTCCTCCCTGGACCGGCTCCAGGCCCGGTCCCGCCTGCCCACCGCCCAGCACCCCCCACAGATGGAGACACCCAGGCTCCCGCCCAGGGCCCCCGGATTGGGGAAGTGCCCCAGCTGCCAGCCTACGGCCCCGCCACCCTCCGCTCTGCTCTGTTCCTCTTCCACTTGGTGCACACACATGCACACACCACACACGCGGACACACGCACACAACTTTCACACATCACACATGTATTCATACACACACGCCACAC